AGTATCATAAATAACTTCCCAGTTTTTCTTTCTGAATTTCTGTAACATTTCGCAATTTTGTCCCATAAACTGACAAGTAGCTTTCCTATTCAGTTGATGGAACGTGGACGCATACAAAATTGCTCTAACCTGATTCAGCACCTCTCGGTTTAGCAAGAGATCCAAATTTGGTTTGCTAAACCTGGACCGGAAGAAGAAAAGAGTCCAACATTGAACCAAGGCATGAACAGCAATCCAAATACATGCAAGATCAATCACACCGCGCAGTGAAGGTATTACCTCTAACCATAATATCAACGTTCCTATTGCTTTAATATCAGCCTCCCAAATGAATTTAAATTTTAAATATTTGGAATATATATATATATCAGCCTTCCTATTGCTATGCTACCTGTGGGTATTTCTTCTCATTCTCCTAGTGGTTATCCTTTATTTGAAATGCCTAACTGTGATCAAAGGGAGGGCATTAATATTGTGGATGGTAATAATTTTTCTTTAACTATTGCTTGTGAGAATCCCCTTGATGCTTCCCCTGCTATTGGTGAGAGAATTGCTAAAGATAATACTTTTTTAGTTAGAACTTAGATGGTGTTAATGTGGAAGTTTGTGATGTTAATAGGACTGATTTGAATGATTCTTCTAGCGAATTGGTGTTGATTCCTACTGACTCTCCATTGTTTGATTCAGGTGTGCCGCATAATTTGGATAAAAATGTGGTTGTTGTTGACTTTTCTATCTCTCTTATTTCTAAGAATTCTTTGAATGCCCAATTGGCTTTAAACTCAAAGGAGTTGTGTGTGGATCAGTCAAATTGGTTGATTGAGTGTTACTCATCTGATTGTCTAGGTGATGGGGAAGATAAGGTGGATTCTAGTGATGATTTTTAAGATTTGTTTGGCTTGAATGTGGTTCACATTGAAGATGGTGCTTTCAGAAATGCTGTTCCTAAATAAAGTAGGCGGAAAAATAAAAAGAAAGCTTAAAATAAGTAATTTTTTTTTGGTGGTGCCTTTGAATGGGCTGGGTGTGGCCTTTATTAGCCTTCTGATTTTTGGTTGTCTGTGTGTGTTAGTTCATGCTGCTAGTGTTGTGTTTGTTGTGTTGTGGGTGGTGGTGTTCTTATGTTTCTTGTTTGGTTGGTGGGTGCCCTTTCTTGTTGTGTTGGCATGGAGTTGATTCTTTTGTTGGGTGCTTTGTTAGGGTTGGTTTTGTGTTTTGGGTCTTTTATTATGTTGTGTTCTTGTTGTGGGTGGTTTCCTATGATGCATCGACACGGACACGGCGACACGGACACGACACGACACGAACACGGGACACGGCAATTTTTAAAAATATAGGACACAGGTGCGGCGTGAACACGGCATAATAATTTTTTAATATAATATATAAAAATTAAGGTGACATTATAGTAAAAATGTCAATCAATAATAAATCAATTTCATGATAACTTGTTTAGCTTATAACATAAAAATGTCTAGTATAAACACAAAAATATAAGCAAAAAATCATTTAATACAACATAAATGTCTAACTACTCAATAGAGAAAATGATAAAATTAGATTTAGATGTTGGTCTTTGGCCTTCAATATCATCATCATTGAATATCATTGCTTCCAACTCTGGTTCATCTAGAGAAAGATTTGCAACCTCTAATAATCCCATATCATCAAGGCACTCGAACCCATCTCCAGTAACATCCCACATCTTGTTATCACCTGTCATATAAAGTGGGGTTTTCCTTGATAGAAGACGAAGATTTGTATGCACATAAATTAAATCTTCAGCACGTTGTGGAATTATTTTATTCATCTTCATTGATTGAATAAATGAGCATGTGCTCGAATTTCTCTCACAACAGGAAGAAGATGATACTTGACCAAGTAGTTTTATTGTTATTGTTTGAAGAAACGGTGTTGAAGCTCCATGAATCAACCACCACATTTTTGGATCCATCCTTCATCTATCAACCAAAGATTCTTGATCACCAAAATCCTCTAAATATCCAAAGAACTTTGCAAATTCTATATTAATTTTTCTTCTCTCTTCCTCATTTGGAAAATATCTTTTCAGGCATATCTTTCTCATATTTGAAGTTTCTAAATCTTTTTGTGGTGAGACACGTTGAGGGTATTCTTGAAGCCATTCTTTACTTGAATACCTTCAAATAATACAAAGCATATAAAATTATATGTTAATTTACCAACAAATTTAAATTAATTTAAAAGATAAATATAAATATACCTTGAATTTAATGAATGAGCCAAACAATGCAAAGGTGTGTTGCTTTTGCTCCACCTATCTTCAAGAATAGTATAGACAATGCTCCAAAAACTTGAGTCTTCTTCATGTGACTTTCTTTCATGTTTGTATATAATTTATTTCACTTTTGCTAACATAGAGTCCCACATCTCATAAATCAAATGTAGCATGATTTATCTGTGTCAGCCTCTCTCAACATATCATAAATCGGATCAGTGAAAGCCAAAATATAGTCTACATTATCCCACGACAAATCATCTAAGACCTTTTCTTTAACATACCTTGCCTTCCCAACATCATCTTCTCGATAGCAAGACCACTTCTCACTAATCACCATAGATTGAAGAGCATTTTTAATTTGTTTGAATCTTCTCAACATGATTATTACAGAGTCAAAACGAGTTTCAGCAACAGCTAGCATTTTCAAGTGGGAGAAATCATTAAACATTGAAAGTCTCATAGAATGGTTCATAATAAAATTTCTGATCAGAACAACATCATCTGCAACCACTGTTATCCAATGACATTCAGCATAGATGATTTTATTAACCTCTGTATTATTTGCTGCACAAATATTTTTTAGAGCAAGATTTAAAGTGTGCACAACACAGGGTGTCCAAAATATATGAGGATAAGTTTGCTCCACCAATAATCGTGCAGCTCTACACACCGGTGCATTATCAGTAATAACCTGCACAACATTTGAAGGCCCAATCATGACTATCACCTCTTTAATCAAATTGGCAATAAAATGTTTATCCTTGTATTCTCCTGCACAATTCACTACGTTAATGAACATTGGATAATTCTCTGTAACGACCATGAAATTAATAAGGGGTCTTCTTTGAGTATCTGTCCAACCATCACACACCAAACTAACACCTTTTTCTTTCCATACTCATTTTGTTGGTTCAAGCAATGTCTCAATATGTGCTCTTTCTCTTTCCAATAATTTCGATCTTAATGCATTGTAGCCAGGTGGAACATATCCTGCGAGGTTGTTGTTACATGCAAAAATGAATGCATTTTTATAATGAGGATTCCTTGTAAGGTTGAAAGGAAGTCCCGCTGAAAAAAATATTCTTGCTATTTCACCATCCAATTCTTCTCGCTGCTACAAATTAAAAGCCTTCTCTAGAGGACTATTGGCTACTCCTTTTCTTTTCTTTGTTTCATATCCTTCACTTCTAAATGATAAAGCTTGATCAACTCTCACATATGAGGAAGAAGTGTGAGATGAGCCATGAGTACATGGAAAAGGTACCTCTTTAGGGAGTGTCCTTTCGATCCTAGATTCAGCTTCATCAACTTGTCTGTTCAATTCAATCAACTGCGACGTAGTAATCTTATGACACATTTTTATTTCATGGCCAAAAATTTTAAGTAGATGTGCATTCACCCTAGAATAAGATCCTTTGTAGGTGCTACCATAATAATTGCATTTGAATGACACATTCCCTCCTCCTTCAAATGTTTTTCCCAACTTTGTAACATGAATCCATAATGGCTTGCCAGTTTCTACAGATGGCTCTTTTGAACCTTCACCTAATCCACTCCCGCCAGCAGTCGAGCTCATTTTGCTAACAAACCAATCATGCATATGAATACATCGAATTAAATTTGATATGAAGTGAAATAAAAAAATCACAACATGAATAAAACAATATACCAGTCTGCCGGGGGTCCAAGGGGGCGCTGCCCCCTTGTGGGGTTCGACCTGCCCGGTCAGGTCGCGGGGTCAAGGGGCAGCACCCCTGCAGGGTTGTACCTAGCAGTACCGAGCATATACCTAGCAGTACCGAGCATGTACCTACCAGTACCGAGTAGTACCGAGCATGTACCTACCAGTACAGAGCATGTACCTACCGGTACTGAGCAGTACCGAGCATGTACCTAGCAGTACCGAGCATGTACTGAGCAGTACCGAGCATGTACTGAGCGGTACCGAGCATGTACCTAGCGATACCGAGCGGTACCGAGCGGTACCGAGCATGTACATTAGGTTTTTCAACAATGAAGAGAAGAAATGGCGAAATTCACTTACAGGTCTTGGCTCTCTTGCGCGCAGAAGGTACTCTGTTTGGCCTTGATTGCGAACTTTGCCTCGAATGACAGTAGAAATAACGCAAGAACGAAGGAATGGGAAAGACGAGCTCTGCTTGACCGAGCAGAAATGACGAAGGAACGGGAGGCGAAGGCAGCGGGCTCCGTTTGGCGTCGACTGCGAGCTCTCCCGGTCCGCCCTAGAAGATTTCTTTCGTGGATCGAAAAAATAGGGCTTCTCGTTCGCGGAAAAGGCTAAATAGAACGGACGATTTTATCATTTAATAACCGGAGACGCGTGTCGGACACGCGTGTCCGATTTAAATTTTAATGTTTTAAATTCCGACACTTCAATGCCGTGTCGGACATGTGTCCATGCCGTGTCCGACGCGTGTTAGTGTCCGACATGTGTCCGACACTGCATACCCTCTTTAAGAGGCGTGTCGGTGCATCATAGCTAGTAATTCATGAGAATTACTAAGGATGTGCTTGGATACTAGGAACTTGGTCCAAGAATGTGAAGAAATGGTTGTAAATTCATAACCAATCCATAAATTCTGGGGAATTTATTTCACTTTCCTTCCATCCGGACAAAGCTTAAATGAAGTCATTCACTTGGATTTCTTGCCAAGTTTTTACTATCAAGAAAATTATCTTCATGTTTTCTGGCTGAATTTGTGATTTTTTTTTTGTGCAGGTATGCTGATGGATCTCATTTCTCCATTGTTTCCATCTGCATTGTTTCTAATAGTCTGCTTGGGGAGCTTGTCAAGATCATTTAGTAAGTTATTTTCTGCAATTTCGTTCATTGAACAATAGTTTGGGCATAATTTTTGAAAGATAATTATTTGTAGTGTGCTATACCTACACATGGCTTGAGATGTCAATGCAGGACTAGCATTAGTATAATGGAATGCTCTTTGGCAATTAAGTTCTTTATCCCAAACTAATTAATTCTGACTCCTTTGGTTGCATGCGGTATGCTACTTTGGGAGTGATATGGGTGTGCTAACCTTTGTGCCAGTTTTTAATAGAAACTAGAGTTGTGAACCTTTTTATTGAAGACTTTTGATCATCACCAAATAAACAATTCATAGCGATTTTGCCAATGTTGTCAGAATATCCAGGTGATCAAAGAGTTGCGGATTTGCTGTTTCACATTAGTTCCTTGATATATGCTTTTTGGGGTTGTGTTTTGGCCATCAAAGTTTTGGCAAAACAAATTGAATTGGGGAGATTTTTCATTTAGACTTTGCATTGATCAATTAGCGGCAAGTGGGTAACCCAGGGGTGTTAGGTGATTAGGGGCAACTTAGGAGTTTTGTTTACATCACCTAATCAACTTTAGTTGGTTTTCTTATTATTTTTATCTATTTTAAAGAAAGTTTTATCATTTTTAGTATCTTTCAGTACTTCGAATAATTTAATGACAGAAAATGAGAATATTTGCACTTTTTCCTTGTTGGATTGGGTGGTTTTGAAAAAAACGAAGTGTCAGTTTCTTTATATATATTTTGGATTTTAAAATTAGTTCTAGAAATCTATAAAATTTGTAGTTCTATTCCTTTATAATTCTCGTAGCCATGGTCAATAATGAACTGACGTCATTGAATTTATCTAGTCCCACTAGATGGTGCATCATCACCTCATCTGTATCAGGTTTGATTCGTTAATGCCAGATTTGGCATTGAGCTGTTGATCCTTGTATGGCAAGCATGGGATTTTTGAGCTGTTAATTAGCATAATTCATAACTTTTCCTTTGAATTTTGGCTTTACTAAAAATATTGTTTTTAGTTAATTAGTACATGATATCTGTAACATGGAAATTAATTCAGTAAACGTTTGAATTATTAAAATCATGTATCCAATTTAGCCTGTAGATCACTTGCAATTTGTCAAATAGGAAAAAAAAAAAAAAGAATAAAAATGGACATGCTAGTTTTATTTTGCTTATGTCAATTTGGTTGTGCCACATTCTAATTTGTTTTTGCCCATGTAGTTCTTTTAAACAATTTGTAGGAGAGTAATAAAGAAAATAGACAAATCTAACCTGTTTCATTAAGGGTGAGAACAATTTGATTTCAGGATGTTTTAATCTTGGCTCAAAATCAACTTATATGCATATAGATTGATTTGAAATTAGCTTGTCGGCTAATTAATTTTATTTTGAACTGTTTGGTTCAAATTAGCTAGATTTTGAATCGAGTCAGCTTGAAATCAATTAATTTTCCTATGGTAAATTTTATTTCTTTAATATACATATTGCATATACAATCATATACATATGTACACATGTTTGTATATATTATATTTAAAAAATATACTGACTATTTATATTTTGAGTTGTCTTAAATTCGGTGCAGATCCAGCTCGAATTCAGTATGAAGATTGGACATAACTAAAAATTTGACTAATGACTTGGCTCATTTGGCTCAACTTGAGCCTGGTCTGATTCAAAAATCGATGCAATCTTTAAGCAATCTTTGATTCTTAAACTAAACTGTCAATATTGTGTGTTAAACATCATTTAGTAAAGCAATTATTTGTTGCTGATTAGAAGAAAATGATGGACTATATCATATTAACTCATTTTAAAAATATTATAAAATTGAAACATATATTGTCCTCTCTTCTAGTTTAGTATCATCTTTTGGGTGTCCTCAAGGCTCGACACAATCACCTTGATTTACAGTACCAAATTTGGTCCACTTTAAGGGGTTTTGAGCAGTCAATGGACATGTTATAGACCCTTCCACGTTCTTTGAATGCTATTAAAATTTATCTTAGAAGTGTCCTTAGATAGCCCATTGCTGGCCTTTATGCCCCAAGTAAGGGTCCTTACCTGGTCACATAATGACCTTTTAAGTGATCACATGACTCCTAGAGAAAAAAATGGCCTAGAAGCAACAACTTTTTCTAGCCGAGAATTAGTCCCCCCAACATACAAGGATCCCATAAATTCATGTTTTATTATTTGTATGCTTTTTGCCTTTGATTTGTTTTAACCAAAGCTCATGGGGTTCACATTTTTTGTTCCGTAGAGTAGATGCTAATAGGTACGAACTATATGCATCATTCTCACTGTAGTGATGAGATTCCTTATAGTATACTTCATTTATTACTATTTTGCTAATATACTAGAGTTGCGCTAAGGCCCACATGTGCCTTTTTTGGCATAGTGGACGATCCTATAATTCATCCGTAGGATAGTAGGATGTTGTATGTGCCTCGTATGTGTTTATTTGCATGACAGGGATACTTTCTATCTGTTCAAAGTTCTGTCGTTTCATATAAATACCACTAACCTTAGTGGGAAATTTGACTCATATGCATCTCTCTTATTGTGTAGGGAAAATTCAAAATTTTGCCTCAATGCTATGCATTACTTGCCTTTCTTGGAATGGTTAAGATAGAAAATAAAAGTAGGCTATGGTTGCCTTGTGCACCACACCACTCATGTCTTTGTTGGAGTTTGGGATAGCCTAGCATAGTTCATACTAGCCCGTTCATGGAGATAATGCGAAATGTTGTTGAATCACTCTTAGTTTTTGGGTTCATATGTGACAAGAATTGGAGAGCATTGATTCAGTGTTTTATTACAACATTTGTATTGTATTTATACAATCTTAGAAGAGCTTCTAATAGGAAACATATAAAATCAACAAATATAATAAATTATTATCATAATAGTTTATGAGTTGATGAGTAGGGAAAAATAATAATAACATATTAATTACAATAGTCCACATATTGACTAGCAAGCAGTAGGAATCCACAAATTAATGAGGTGATAGCGCAATAAGAATGAGGGTGCAAGTCTTAGAGATGTGGGTCCGAGTTGGTGAAAATTATGTAGGTGTTTTGCTATCCCTATCGACCGAATGAATGTGTGATCATTCATTCCTAAATTTCCTATCATCAAGTTGTTCACATATGGTTATGAATGGTGTATATATATGACCACTATCAAGCTTCTCTTTTGTATAATGTCTGTGAACTTCAATATATTTTATACAGTAATGTTTGATGGAATTATGTGCAATATTGATAGTAATCTTATTATTATAATAAAGCTTTATAAGTCCTTTCCATGTAACCTTTAAAATTTTTGAGATAATTTTTATATTTTAGTCATAGTAATTTGTAGATTCTCAATGCCATTGGTCTAAAATTTGATTTTTGCCATTACATTTTTTTTTTTACTTCTTCGACTCATGATGTTTTCTCCTTAGTATGTGCAATCTCTTGAAGTTGACTTCTTGCCAATCATACAATCTGCATAATTTGTCTCTATAAATGCTTCAATAATTCAATTCTCGCACTTTTGAATAAAACTTCTTTGTTTGGGATGCCTTCAAACATTATAGAATATTATATATTGAAATAAGGTGTGATTCTTTTGGATTATGTATGAATTGACTCACTACGATAACAACATGAGCAATATCGGGTCCAATATACAATAAGTAGATAAGTTTTCCTACAAACCTCTGATAGGAGGTCTACCACTGTGCCTTATAGAGTATTTTCAAGTTTATATTTAAATTTCAAATTTCATGGGCTATTAATAGGTTTGTATTCTAACTTGTATGTTTCTTTCAATTGATCTATTATATGTTTTTGTTCTGATATGAAAGTATTTTTTAAGAGTGACCAACTATAATGCCAAGTCAATGTCACAACCCAAACCAATATAACTCAAAGACAGAACATATCATATCGTGTTGAATGATGACAGATCAAGCCGAAGATCTAAGTTTTGGAGACTTCGCAGATTTTCCTTTATTTAACGTTAAATAAAGAGAATTGTAGACTGAAAAGGCTTAATTTTATTATACAAAACTATCCCTATTTATAGATCTATATAAGATGTCTTAATAGAGAAACAAATAAATATAGAATCATGCATAATTGCCTTGATATAATCCTTCCTAAACCAACCACTCAAATATAGAAGGAGATTGGCGTGATCCAGGTGAGCCTCCCACATATCCCCATCCTGGCCATAGGTCAAGAGCCAAAGGACGGCTATGATGGCCGGGATGGTATTTGACACTGCCCCTCAAGCTGGGGAATACAGATCTGTCATTCACAGCTTGGTAGTCAATCACAAAAAGGTAGAGTTATCAAGTCCCTTTGTGCACCATAGAGTCCCTCATTTGGTCAAAACTTTGAAAGCAATTAGCTTTAGACATTGTAGTGGCAAATAATAGTGATGAAGGCTATATTAATCAAGCTTGCAAGGTGCATGGCAGCAATGAAGACTACGTTGAGCAGTAGCTCTCAAGATACCAGAATTGGTAATAAAGGCTGGCGGTGGGATAACAAGGAATGTGAATTAATTATTCTTCGAGTTTGCCTGCCTCTGGGTTCTTTAGGGAATGCCCGCAATGAAGGCACAATAGTAGAAACAAAAAATTTAGGGTTGCAGCAAGCTTCAGAGACAGTATCAGAAAAACACATCTCAAGCGGCTCAGCACTTGGCACGTTGATATCCTCCTTCCTTGGCCGTTCGATCGAGCCAGTCTTCAAACAATGCAAATCAATTGTCCGACTCCACCCAAATAAACTACTGTTCGATCAGCCCAGTACAGGCGCACGTAAGGCCTCTAATCCCTCTTGTCTTTTCGTAGGAGGTTCTGCCCTTGACTTCTCCTTCTTCTGCTCGGTCGACTCTGGATGTTGCACGAAGGAACGAAGACCGAGCTATAAAGTACTTATATAAATAAACTCAAACAAATCAGCCCCTGCAACCTCCGCTACTTAATAAGCTTCTTCCATTTTTCCTGACCTAAAATAGAATATGTAATAGGTGTGAGCCAACACAGCTTAATATATCACATCTACCGACCTGAATTTTCAATAATTAACTTATGTATTTAACTGAATTTAAATGTAGTTGGTAACAATTTATTGTGCTGAACAAAATATTGTTTTGCGAATAACTAAAATATAATAATCTTTGCATTATAAATAAATATTTCATATATAAGAATAGAAAATAACATATTTCCTTCCGGCCCATATACCTCTCTTAAGAAACATATATCAGAATTTAAGCTCTTATGACTCCCGTTGCTAGTATATTAGAAAATATGCTCTTATGACTCCCAATGCTCAACACATATCAAATATTCAAATTTTTATAACTCCCTATGCATTTAGAATAATAGAACTTCTTACAACATCCGATCTCTACAGAATCATACATTTAAAACAGTTACGTGCATTTATAATTACATTGAAATAAATAAATGTAAATAAATTAATTTCAGAAATACACAGTGCTTTATCTGTAGGCAATAAATTCAGCAACTGAGTATAATTTTATAGTTTCAGAATTTCATCAGTTTACCAGGGATTGTTCAAAAAATTATTTTGATGCTTTAATTATACTTTAGCATTATTTTATATGATCAAAACTATTTTTTAATTCGCCAAAAATAGTACACTTTTTAATTTACCTAATGAAAATTTTGCAAAAAATATCTAAATACTCATAATGATCAAATCTATAATATAGAAAGTTACATGGTGAGGTGTGATGTTATCCCCATTTCTAGGCTATGAATTTATAATTTAAATTTGGAAATTTCTAAAATATTTTTATTTTTTAAAAATTAAGATAAACATGATGTAATCTACCTTGATCTGAACAACTTTCTGAGTTGGACTGATAACAAAAAATAGACCAGAGTCTCTTGAAATGAACTTTCTCTCTCTAGCAAGCTCTTAAGGGGGGAGGAAATGGATTTGATAAAATGAAAATAAGTGGAAATTAATATTTTATAAAAATTTGATCTAGTGCCATGGTGCTCCGGACAACGTTGTCATTGCGCTGATCCAGATCAATTTAAATGACCTAAATCCAAGAGCTTGGCACTGCAACACTCCCCACCTAGAGCTGCAACACTCCTAAGGGAAAAAAAGATTTTCTATTCATGCATACAAACTCTTGGGACTCAATTCAGAATAGTTCCAAACACGTGCATACGAAACATTCACAGACATATACAAGAAGTATAAATGCAAAAATTCTATTACATTGCCCCTACCAGTCCGGATTAGAACAGGTGCAAGTGCACCTTATCACAGTCAATACCTTATATATATATATTATTGTGAATCCAAGCATGAAGGATGTGGTATGCTTATTCTGAATAAATAGTAACATAAGTCTTGCATGATATCTTCTGCAAAATGACTAGATATGCTATCTTAATTGTACTGTACTAGCGTAATGTGGTCTTTATGCAATTATTGTTATTGTGTCGAGCTTCTAGCTCTCTTTATGGTTTTTTATATCTATTTCATTACCTGCTCGTTTCTTTTGATGCTTTTAACCTGTAACCATCTACTACTTGTCATTTATTGTAGGTCTGTAGCATTTGATTCCCTTTTAAACATGGACTGACATTTCTGACAATTTTTCTTTAGCTGGCGTTGCAAGTGGCGCAACGAGAGCTGCTCTGACACAGCACTTCTCACTTGAGAATAATGCAGCAGATATATCTGCCAAGGTAATGTGGAGATTCTATAGTTTTCTGCTGTTTAATTGCTAATATAATTACTTATTTCCATTTTTAAAATATTTGCAGGAGGGTAGTCAAGAAACTATAGCAACAATGGTTGGCATGGCACTAGGAATGCTTCTTGCTCATCTTACAAGGGGATATCCTCTGGCAGTATGGGTTTCATTCCTTTTGCTGACTTTTTTTCATATGTATGGTGAGTAAATGTGCCATATTTGTCATTTGCCAACATCCATGCTACAGATTTTGCACCTTTCTTCGTTGCTTTTTATTTTTATTTTTAAAGTTTGCTATATTGAAAGATTAGTAAAGCAAGAGACATACCATCTCTCTGATATTTACTCACGAAGGTTGACATATCACTACATTACTATGAGGACCCAACATTATACTAGAAATGTAAGAAATTCAGGGGCTGTTTGGTTAAATTACAAAGTGTTGTAAAGTATTCCAAATATAGGGGCTTTGAAAATTTTGGTGTTTGATTGGAATACAAAGTGGAGCAAAGTAAAGTAAAGTAAATGTAGTGTAAACCATTTTAGCTCATTTTTAAAGTAAATCAAACTCAACCAGTTTTGAGCAAGAACCGTTTACACCACAAGCAAACTCGCTTGACCACTGCCGCCACCCGCTGGCCACCACCGACTTCCGTGAACACCCATCACCACCACACCCACCGGCCACCACCACCGCGGCTGCTAGCGACCACTACCCATCACTGGCCACCACCACTACCGGCAGCTGCCACCGCCACCGCAATCACCACAGTCGTCGGCCACTACCATTGCAAACTGGATCCGCCACCCACAGTTGGAAACCACCCCACCACTACTGCCATCTTCCCTGCCGGTGGACACCATTTTTGGACTTTACACTACATTCATTATTTCAAAAAAAAAAAAAAAAATCATTCACTTGTATTTACTTTACATTCATCCAAATAACTCCAAATCTTCCCTGCCGGCGGACACCATTTTTAGACTTTACACTACATTCATTATTTCAAAAAAAGAAAAAATCATTCACTTGTATTTACTTTACATTCATCCAAATAACTCCAAAGTATTCCTTTTACACATCATTCCTTTTTTAGCCAACCAAATAGCCCCTTAGGTATTCTTGTAATAAAAGATGGAGTTGGCCAATAAAGGCACTTAATCATATTATTGCTCCACATTAGATTTTCCTGGACAAATGATTAAATCTTTCAAGCCATGAGAATGGTTCTAGCATCACATACTATGCAACATAGGGTGCCAATTTCTTAGTATAATCTGTGGTGTGGTTATTTTTATATCATCTATACGTCATTCTCATTTTTATTATTGTCATGGTTTCTTTTTTATCCCTTGGACTTATGGTTGGTTTTTTTTATCAACTGGGAAATTGAAGATTTTCAGGAGAGGCTATATTCTTATATAATCAGGCGGCTTAATTTGATGTCTTCTTGCTTTCTAATTTATTTTCACAAAAGTTGTTATTGTTTTAGGTGCATAATGTTGAAATATCTGTTGAGACTAATTTCAATGTAGTTGTATAAAATACAGCAGAACAGAGAAGATGTAGAAGGTATAGCAGAGAAGAGCAGACCAGAAACAATAATGTAACTTTTTAATTAAACAATACAGAATATTGTAGTTACATATATACTAGATAAGAGACAATTAGAAGTAATTACATAAATGCCATTCAGTTAGTTAAAAAGTAGCGGTAGAGATTTGATCTGGTGAAAAGGTAGCCATGTGAATTCTACTCTGTAGCAGGTGAAGATGGCAGACAACATGAGCTGAGTCATCAGTAGGAGGGACTAAGGAGAAAATAAACTTCCCATAGGAGTAGCTCTATATACCCCCTCACGTTGAGAGGGATCACAGACCGTCAACTTGTCTCCGAGAGAGGCGAAGGCAGCATTGGGTAGAGCTTTTGTTAAAATGTCTATTATTTGATCTGTGGAAGAATGTGTTGAACTTTGAGAATAGCTGATTGAATGGCTTCGCGGATAAAATGATGATCGATTTCTATATGTTTTGTCTGTGCATGAAAGATCGGGTTGCTGCGGTAGCTGCGGCAAGAGCTCTGTATCTAACCTCTGTAGATGATCGAGCAACCGTAGTTTGTTTCTTAACACTCCATGTAATAAGATTGGGACCGAGAAAGACACAGAACCCAGTCGTAGATTTGTGATCTTCGACATCACATGCCCGATCCAAGTACGAGAAAGCCTGAAGCTGAAGTATGCCGCGTGTGAGAAGAAGACCATGGTTGGAAGTGCTCGTAATGTGCCTGAGTATGCGTTTAAGTAGAAGAAAATTGCAGTCCAATGGCTTGTGCATGTATTGACAAAGTTTATTTACAACAAAAGCAATATATGGGTGAGTGGATGTAAGATATTGAAGCGATCCATCCAATTAACGAAACAAGGTGGGGTTATGAAATGGCTTTTGCAATTCGGGTGCCATTGGGATTTTTGAGGGTGGTGGGTCAAGAATTGGTTTATAATGTGCCATGTCAGCTTTGTGGAGAAGGTCCGTGATGTAGCTATGCTGAGATAGATGGTAGGACTGGTTTGTTGAAGTGACATCTTTGCCAAGAAATCTGAACAAGGTGTTGAGATTGTGCATTTGAAATTGCAATTGCAGCTTATGGAGGAAATTATAAATGAACTGTTGATTGTTGTCAGTGACCAATTAAGATGTCATCAACGTAGATGAGAAAATATATATGAATATTATTAGTCTTGTAGATCATGAGAGAGAGTTTACAGAGCTGTAGTGGAAGACTTGGAGTGCAAGATAGGATGAAAGAGTTGCAAACTATTGACGTGGAGCTTGTTTGAAGCCATAGAGGGCTTTTTTAAGTAGACAAACATGATTAGGATTTTGATTATCTTGGAAACCTAGTGGTTGAGCCATGAAGACCTGTTCATCCAAAGAACCATGAAGAAAGGCATTTGTTGGAGAACTGGCCACTGATAATGAAGATAAAAAGTGCGAAATAAACGATTGGTGGGAGACTTAGCAACGGGACTAAAAGTCTCATGATAATCAAGCCCACATTCCTGTTTGAAACCTTGAGCGACGAGTCGTGCCTTGTACCTTGCTATGGTACCGTCAGAATTTTTTTTGAGTTTGAACATCCATTTGTATCCAATGACATTTTGGTGTGGTTGGGGTGGGAAGGTGAGATACATAAATTGGGAAAGAACTTTGCAATAAAAGAAACTATCGCTGAATTGGGATGACCCAAACGTTAGTGCCAAATACTTGAAGTGGATGGAGTAAGAAATGCAGTTGTAGGAGGAAGCCATGTGTTGGAGCTGATGCAGATGGGGTAGAGACTGTTAAGGCAAGCTCCTTGGACTAGATATTGTTGAGTCTTCTGATCCTTGATAAGATAACCTGAATAGTCCAAGAGATAGAACAATTATTATCTGCAGCAAGCTTAGAGATAGAGAGAAGTTTGTGGAATTAGTGAGGAACATGAAAAATGGAGTTTAGAGTGAGCATACGAGTGGGGGTCGGTAGAAGGCCTTTGCCAGAATGAGCAATAGGTAGAGTTGCACCATTACCAATCAGACCTTGATTGGAGCCGTGATAAGTAAGAGGCATCCTGTAATGAGTGGAGCTCAAGTGTCAAGTGAGTTGTGGCTCCACTGTCAAGATATCACTTTGCATATGAGGTTGAGGATGATTTGACAAGCAAGGCATGGGATGGAGGGATATACTGCATATTTGCACAATGCCAACATGAGAAGGTTGAGTGGCCTCTTTCTCCGCATATCTGACAAGCATCAGGTGATTTGGGTTTGTTGCCCTTGGGAGAGACGCTGGGGTTGGACGGAGAATGGCCATGACCACGAAAATATGCAGAGTTGTGACCTCGACCACGTCCCCTAGTGGATGCAAGCGTAAACTGAGTTTCAGTGATGGCAAGGGAATCGATTAGGGAGAGTTCTTTGGAGCATCTATGGCAAGGTTAACCTCATCACTACAGAGTAATGAGTATAAAACATCTAGAGAAATGGGGCTAAGCTTGGTTCTAATTGCAGTCTTGAAAGCTTGATAGTTTGTGAGCAATCCATTTAGGATATATAAGATGATATCTTCGGTATCAATCTGTCCACCAGTTGCTGCAATGTTATCCACTAGTTGTTTGACAGTAGACAGATAATTTATCAGGCTGGTTTTGCATGGTGAGCGAGTGAAGCTCGTTCTTGAGTTGAATAACTCTAGAACGGTTTGTAGAGAACAGTCTCCGCTTAAGTGTTGTTCAGATAGCATGACATGAGTCCAAGTTAATGATATAAGGGAGCAGAGAGGAGGAGATGATGGAAAATAGAGCAACAGATAGATTTTGGTTGAGAAGAAGCCATTGAGTACAAGAGGATTTAGCGTTAGGGGATCAATATTAGAGAGGATATGTTTTGGTGGGCATGGAGTGGTGCCATTAGGGGTGTAAGTGAGCTGAGCCGGCTCGAGCTCGACTCGTTTTCCAACTAACGGGCCGAGCTCGATAATGGCCTAAACTCGACTCGACTCATTTGCACCCCTAAGTGCCATCAAGGTACCTAACAAAACCATTGGCGAGAAATAACTTGTGTATTTGAGTTCGCCAGGTGGAGTAGTTGTCCGACAGCAGTTGGGTGATATGGGAGACTAAAAACTTTAAGGAAGCAAGGATAGGGGTTTCCGTGGGATTAGTCTGACTGATAGCAGGAGACGAAACATTCGTTGACGAGGCGTGAGGTGTATCCATTGCAACCACGCAAGCTTCTATGATACCATGTTGAAATATCTGTTGAGACTAATTTACATGTAGCTGTATAAAATACAGCAGAACATAGAAGAAAAAGGTATAGCAGAGAAGAGCGGAAAGGAAACAATAATGTAACTTCTTCATTGAACAGTATAGATTACTATAGTTACATATATACTGGATAAGAGACAGTTAGAAGTAATTACATAAATGCCATTCGGGTTAGTTAAAAAGTAGCCGTAGGGATTTGATCTGGTGAAAAGGTAGCCATGTGAATTTTGTTCCCCGAGTGATCAGTAGGAGGGGACAAGGAGAAAATGAACATCCCATAGGAGTAGCTCTATTACATAATTGATTTATTTCAAATTCTATGTAAAATGAAATTCAATGCGCAGACAATTAGTTATATGATTTTTCATGCTTTCAGATATCTAAACTTTGCATTTAGTAGAAAAGTATTATTTTATCAATGATGTTGTTATTCATCATGTTTTTTCGGATCATCAAAATACGAGGAATAATTGTTAAAGTTTAGTTTGTGATCTATGAATTGTATGTGCTTTCATAATATTGTGCATCTCATTGTAGTTCAACAATAAAAAATGACCCCAAGATGCTCTACATTAGATTGGTTATGCTAATTTTGTGCTCAAGTGTCAAAGAATTCTCTAGTCGAGATACAAATATGGATTGTTGGGGTACTTGGAAAGTATTCCACCTATGACTAACATTTGTAGGATTATCACATCTAATGATCTGCAACCCTTTCACACAATCTAACAATCCTGAAGAGGAATCTAATATGGAACTAACACCTGCCATGGTTTCACTTTTGCACAACATAATGCTAAAACGCCTTCTATGAGTCTGCCTAGGAAATAGAGACAATACACATCGTCAATCGTCATTAGGGTGCCACACACCTTCTTGAACCTTCACGTTTCTTTCAAAATAGGAATTTCAGGACTTATTGTAACCCTGTTTGCTACCATTACTTTGAGACCTTGTTGCCCTAATGAGAGAGACTATATGGTCCCTCATGATCAGTGCCACGATGAAGAGTACATTGATGTCTCAAGGAGAGTCATGGTAGATGCCTATGATGGGTTGATGGCATGTTCGAGGCTGATGCAGTTCTTGATTGGTCATGCGAGATTAAAGATTTCATAAAAAGGTACAACATGCCGAATGCCTATTGCATTAGAGTTGTAAAAATGAAATTCGTAAGTTCTTTCAGAAGATTTATCCATCTTGCATACCAAGGATTCATAAGCCGTCTACAGTGTTGTCCATTGGATTATGTGTAGAATTTAGAACTGCATTTAAAAATTTTCTCATCGTTATGATTGGTCCAAAATCCAATATTTAAGTATTTTTTTGTCTGCTTTTCCATGTTCTCTTTCCTATGTTTTTTATTACTTGATCTGGAACAACTGTAGCCTTATTTTTTGTGCTTATCAGCTTCCAACCTTTATTTCAGCAAATTACAAAGCTGTAAGGTGCCTTTCATTAACAACGTTAAACAGTAAAAGAGGTTCCATACTGCTGCAGAATTTCATAAAGAATGGCCAAGGTAATCAATGAACTATTCTTCCTGAATGGAGCTTACACAGAAATGTACTGTGTATGCCAACGTGAAACTTCACAATTTTTTAAAAGAGATGACAAATTTAGGGCAGATATTTGCTAACTAAAAATATATATATGTTTGAATGTAAACTCTTTATTCTAAAAGTAGTGCATATAGCTCAGTTATAATGGATATAAGGAGTTTTTGGGATGAGACTAAGATTTTAAGAACTCTTAGTCATTGAACTTTGATTTCTCACTTAATAAGTCTTATGAGTAATTGAGTCATAAGTTTTCAATATGCTGTTTCAAAATTGCTTCACATGAAACATTTTTAACTTTAGTGGAAAAAAACCTCACATATTCCTGTTGGCAGTCGTTACACCACAGAAGGTTTCAAAGATGGAGCATATATTTCCTTCCTTGGCTAATCCATGGAGTTCAAGTAATGGGATATCACTACACCGGCGTGTATACCTGGGTGTCAAAGTCTCTGGCCTCAATCATCATGACATGTGAGTTCCTAAATTCTGATTTTAAACTGCTCTCATGAAGGTAATCTTTACTCTATAGTTGAGATGAGAATGAAGTAATTATTTCATTCTGTTTTTATGCATGGCAGGGTGGAGCTTTCAGGATCAACTATTTCTCACTACAAAAAAGGTTCACCTTTTAAAAATATTTTTTCAAAGTGACTTTTACTGAATTGAAATGGTGGATTTTACATGTTACAGCTAAATATTTGCTGTTGGAGAGGGAAGGTGTTGTTCGTGCTATAATCCATAAACAGGCAACACCAGCTGATATTTTGCAGTCCTTCATTCATGCTCTTGTCCTGGCAAGTCTTACCGAGCAAAGCAAGGCAGTGCACATTGAGAGTCGGCTGTGGATGGATGAGAATTACAATGATTTCATAACAAAGGTTTTACCTTTTATTACGCTTTTTAGATTCGAATCAGCGTTTAAAACATAGAGGAATTTACTTGGCACAAACCTATAAGCATATTGCAATCTCTATCATGTTCGTTTTCTTAAGTATCATCTTTCATATGATCATATCTTCCATCTATTCCTACCTATGAAATGATTAGCTTAAGGTTCCGCTTGGGGTGGCTACAATTATTTTAAAATAGTTAAGAGTTGTTGTAAAAGAACAATTTTTTTAAAAAAAGATGAGGGTATTATAAATATTCTCTTTTGAAATAATTTAACAACATTTTTATAGCTATCACATTCAAGTAAATCTGGCTGTCAAAAGCTGCTTCTCATTACAAAAACTTTTGAGGAGCAGCAAAAAAAATAGTGGTTAAATAGAAGTGTGGCAATAGTCTAAAAAAGAAAATAATGAAAAAGCTGCTGCAAACGGACCCTTAGACTTACCTTATTTCTTGGTTTTACAGTTGGGCTAGCTGATCTCTGAAACAAAATGTTAGGCTAAAAAAAGTGAACATTGCGTGTAGGGAAATCAGTATGCTGTTGAATGAGATCTGAAAGTTTTAACTCAACGACAACTTGACCATTTAAGAACTGTTAAGCTGATGCCACTTCTATGATTGATTTATTATTACTTGCTATTAGGCTAAATACAAATAATACAACACCCAGTTTGAATCATCAACGGCCTTGAAAGAAAAGACATAAGAAAGCTGCATCTAAAAATTGCAGTGCTCAATCCAAACAACTAGCTAAACAACAAGATTACATAAAAAAGGATGAGCATGTAAACCTAAAAACAAAACTGCACTCAAAATGCCAAAAATATCACCCATTTAATCATCACAAAGTAAGGCAGCCCTGGTAGTAACTTCCCAGATGGCCATCCACGGGGAAGCATAGAGCTGGAGAACGCTATTCCTAAGATATATCCATTAATTAATAGAAAATTTCTACTAAAACAATGGTCGATTGGCACGACGTTTCATGAAATCAGTCCAAACACCGTTCGCTAGCAAAATTAAACTCACCAGTGTGTTTAAAACACTTAAATCACAAAAGAAGCGTCTTTCATTCATGGCTCAAGAAGATGACGAATGCACCAAACTATGAGCGCTTTGGTGCATGAACTTTTCTGGACGACCTCCAATAGTGAAACAGGTCACACCGTTGTGTTCAAAATGTGAAATTAGCGAAAGGAGATTTCTCGTGAGTAGATCAAGCGAATGCGATAAAAACGGTTAAATCAAGTGCACAATGTTATACAAAGTTATCCGAACGGATGTTTTCGGCCTTAGTTGCAAAGAGGTCCTATAACCCTAAACCCTAAAACCCTAAACCCTAAACCCTAAACCCTAAACTTGAAAGTCACCTAGACCCTAAACCCTAAAAACCCTAAACCCTAAACCCTCTAGTGTGTGAGACTAGAGGGTTTAGGGTTTAGGGTTTAGGGTTTAGGGCAAATGTGTACTAGAAGAACCTTGTTAGGCTCTGATACCATAAAGGGTCCGGATCAGTAATTAAAGAGGCAAAGGAATAGACTATTCTAAAATTTATGCCACAAATTTTAAAGAAACAATACTGAAGTAGATTAAAACAAAGTAGGAGACTTACAAAGTAGGAGAAAACTTCAGCTTATGATGGCTGTGTGTTTTCTTCCTAGTACACTTTGGCTTATATAGCCATTTTAAAACCAGATACAGGTTATCAAAACCAGGGGCGGCCCATGATTTTGATTAGTGGAAAGTAAAAGTTACAATAATGCCATGTGATTGTGGCATAGAATAAAGAGTACTATTGCCATGTGCTGTTGGCATACAATAATGTATCGGGAATCTTTAGATAGTGGTAGTAATTGGGTGGTTGTAGTGAAGTGGGCCCACCATTGCTTTCAGATGAGGTGTTTGTATGATTGATTGGTCAGTGCTTCAATCATATCAATTATGCCAGCTAAGCTTTCTTCATGTTGGCGCAGTGGTTGGAACAAATCTGTGTAGCAATTATCCTTGGTGACGAGTCGACGGCAGTATTATGTCTTGTTGGTATAGATCCGTAGTAGATTACGGAGCTCATTAAGGACAATATAGGTTTGTTCTGTTTCGACTCGTCGAGCTGCGCCTCTAAGTTGGTCCAGCTGCGTGACTTCAATGGGGTACTGAAGTGTTTGTCGTAGTATTTCTCGATGTAGGTATTCTTTTCGTAGGATTGCATGTTCCTGAATTGTTTGCTTGGGTTTGGGTTGATCATGATCGGTAAAGATTCTTCGGAGTTCCTCAGCAGTGGGATCTGCTGTTCTTTGTTGAAAATACTCTTGTGCAAATTCCTTGTAGACTTGTGAATGATCATCAGAGCCTTTTCGCGTCATTCGTCTTCCAAAATCCTTTGCACGAGTCTGAGCCGGTTCCTTTCAGCTCGATGGGATTCTGTATTCCATTTGCTTGGTTCCATCCTGTGATAAAATTTTGTGAAGAATGACTGGATAATGTTCCTGCCCAAATAACAAACGTTAGTCGTGAAAGGTTATCGGCGAGGACGTTGTTTTTGCCTTCTATGTGCTCAAATCGTATTGTCATTCCTAGTCCGTTGATGTAGTCCGTAAAAGATAGCCATCGAACTCTGGAGGGTTTGTGTGCTGCTGATTTGTTGTAGAAGGCTATGATTGCTTGACAGTCTGTTCTTAAAGTTATCTCAGCTTTATCCAGATAATGAATTTTTAATGCTTCCAATGTTTTCATACACGCATGAATCAAGGATCAACTGAAAAACAAAACAGAGCATACAAACACCTCATCTGAAAGCAATGGTGGGCCCACTCCACTACAACCACCCCATTACTACTACTACCTAAAGATTCCCGATACATTATTGTATGCCAACAGCACATGGCAATAGTACTCTTTATTATATGCCACAATCACATGGCATTATTGTAACTTTTACTTTCCACTAATCAAAACCATGGGCCGCCCTTGGTTTTGATAACCTGTATCTGGTTTAAAATAACTATATAAGCCAATATGTACTAGGAAGAAAACACACAGCCATCATAAGCTGAAGTTTTCTCCTACTTTGTAAGCCTCTTACTTTGTTTTAATCTACTTCAGTATTGTTTCTTTAAAATTTGTGGCATAAATTTTAGAATAGTCTATTCCTTTGCCTCTTTAATTACCAATCCGGACCCCCATTCGCAAAAAGGACCACGCGAGCTAGTACAAAACATCCAAATTACTCGAAAAGGATGTCTATATTGCCTTGGTGCCAACACACTAAAATCGGGTTGGAAACTAGCTTACTCTTCATTCTGATTGCAAAGATTGTAAAGTTATTCCGAATGAAAATTTATGTACCCAACATCGATTATTAGTTTTGGACTTTAAGATAAAGGAGCGGAAAATAAAAAATAAAGTAAAATGATTTTCTAATATTAAATGGGGGCTTTTAAAGAATATTAACAAAAGTATTTTTGAGAGTAAAATTTTAGATCTTAAGATTTTGTCTGTGCATGAGGATGCTAATGGTATGTGGGAAAAAGTGACTAGTAATATTAAGATTATGACAAAAGATGTCCTTGGAGTTTTGAATGGAAAAGCTCCTAATAGTAAAAATAGTTGGTGGTGGAATTCAAATGTGCAAGAAAAGATAAAAAATAAGAAGATTTGTTATAAAAATTAGTTTAGATGTAAAAATTACGATAATCGGAAAAGATATACATAGGCTCGTAAGGAATCTAAGAAAGCTATTTGCGATTGAAAAAACTTAACTTTTAATGATTTTTATAATAGATTATATACTAAGGATGGATAAAGATATGTGTATAAGTTAGCCAAACAAAGAGATAGGAGTAGTAAGGATTTAGTTCAAGTGAAGTGTATTAAAGATGAAGATAAAAAAGAACTTGTTTTAGAAGATGATATTCAACAAAGGTGGATGAGATATTTTGCTAAAATTTTTAATGAAGATTGTGAAAATACAATTGACTTTCGTGACTTTAGCACCTTAAATGAAAAAATATATTTTTTGTTTTTATCGGCGTATTAGTAAAACCGGAGTTAGAGAGACTTTAAAGAAAATGAAGTGTGATATTCCTATAGAGATGTGGAAATGCTTAGGAGATGAAGAAATTTCTTGGCTTACTAAGCTTTTTAATACTATTTTGAAGACTAAAAAGATGTCAAATCAGTGGAGAATGATTGTGTTAATTCATATTTTTAAGAATAAAGGTGATGCATAGGAGTGTGCGAATTATAGAGGAATTAAGTTAATGTGTCATATTTTAAAATTATGGGAGTAAGTTATGGAGCGTAGGTTGCGGCGTGATACTAATGTTTCTCAAAATCAATTTGGATTCATGCCGGGTAGTTCTACTATGGAAGCTATCCATTTATTGAGAGGTTTGATGGAGAAATATAGAGAGAATAAGGAGGATCTACGTATTATATTTATTGATTTGGATAAAAAATATTATAAAGTTCCAAGAGAAGTGCTATGGAGAGTTCTTGAAAAGAAAGGAGTTAATAACGCTCATATTCAAATCATTAAAGATATGTATGTATGAGCTATTACTTGTGTTCAAACACAAGGTGGTTTGACCAAGTATTTTCCTATTTCAGTTGGATTACATCAAGGATCATCCTTAAGTCCATATCTTTTTGCTTTAGTCATGCATGTTCTCACTAGACATTTGCAAGAGGATGTACCTTGGTGTATGCTTTTTGCTTATTATATTCTTCTGGTTGATAAGACTAGAGAGGGAGTTGAAGGTAAACTTGAATTATAGAGGTCAACCTTAGAGTCTAAAGGTTTTCGCTTGAGTTGATCTAAAACTGAATATATGGAGTGTAATTTTAATAGCAATAGACCTAGTGAGGAGATTGTGACTTTGGGCGATCAAGTCATTAATAAGAGCACATGTTTTAGATATATTGAATCTATTGTTCAGAGTGATGGTGAAATAGATGGGGATATTATCAGCATTACTCAAGTTGGATGGTTGAAGTAGAGGAATGCATCGGGCTTGTTGTGCGATAGAAAAGTCTCCCTCAAACTTAAGGAAAATTCTATAATATGGTGGTGAGACCTCACAGCAATGCTTTATGGTGCTGAATGTTGGCGATTAAAAGAGAAGCATAATACTAAGTTAAGTGTTTTAGAGATGAGGATGCTTAGGTGGATGAGTGGCTTTACCTTTAGAGATAGGATACGAAATGAGCATATACGTGAAAATGTTAGAGTAGCTCCAGTGGAAGATAAGATTAGAGGGAGTCACCTTAGATGATTTGGCCACATTAAACGGAGGCCTTTCGATGACCTTGTTAGGAAATTTGAGGTATTAGATTTGACTTATGTTAAGAAAGGTAGAGGTAGACCTAAAAAGACTTGGTTAGAAAATATTTGAAATGATATTTCTTTATTAGATTTAAATGAGAATTTGACTTTTAATATGACACAATGGCAAAAAAGGATTCATGTAGCCGACCCCACGTAGTGGGACAAAGGCTTGATTATGTTGTTGTTGTGGTAGTTAGCCCTAGCCGCCACCGCCCCCCACAAAAACAAAATTTGACCTTCACCAGGGAGACCGCCAAAATTTTAACTAAATTTGGACCCAAATTCATACTATAAGGATTTGAACTTGTAAAGAATTTACTAACCTAATCAAACTAAACTAAAATATAAATTAATGTAAGAAGCAAAGAAAGAATTGAAATGAATGAGCAGGGAACATAGATTACATGGAACAAAATTGAATTAGAAGGCTCGCCTGAGCACAAGTAGAAGACGAGCATAAGTAAAACATCAAAAGAACCCTTAGGAAACCCAACAAAACTCAAGCTAAACGTATTTGAATGTGAGAAGTGAATAACTCCCATTCCCTTCATATTTATAAGGGAGGGAGAATGTCATGTGGGAATTGCCATCATTAATTAAAAAAACTATAAAATGATAATATTAAAGCTTAAGAGTATGACATGTGAAAAATGTGTCATGCCCGCCCTATATCTGCCCCCCATATTCAGTCCAATTCCGCCTTTTTCGTCGCCAGATCCGTAACCCCCTTCATGTAAGCAGACAGAAGGTGATACAAAAAAAAATCTCCAAAGTTGTAAGATTTATCTAATTGGTACTTTTACATGAATTTTGACCGATGAAAACCAAAATTTATATGATTGGTACTTACATGAATTTTTTAAGATGACTCGCTAATTCTGTTGCAAAAAGTCTCAAACTTTGTGCAATGAAGGCGAATAATATAACAAAATTCGGATATTTAAGGTCATGTGCATGTATCCCGAGGCCGTTTTCAAACTATACTAAAATTGCCTCGAGAAACATGCAAATGCATCAAGCACATCAGATGTTGCACACAAGCGTCATACAGATGCACTGAAAGTTATAGAATTACACAACAAAAGTACGTTTAAAAATTTTGATGAAACAATCACTCTTCTAAAAATGGCGTGTTTGCATTTGCTCCGGTAGGTGCTACGAAAATGCAAGCTTTACGTTTGAGAATGTTGTGTGGATTGAAAAATTATATATTAACTTTCAAATTTTTTGTTCCGAAAATTTGTGTCTCGGCCTCTCCCTATCTTTTTATCGACGAGGAGAGTTTTAATGGATTGGGTTCTGAGGTAAATTTTTGTAAGATAATTTAGCTTTCAAGCCATCTTAATGAAGCGAGACTTTGCTAATGAGAGGCTGAAAATCAAATATGTGAAACTTATTTATAAAAATTGGGATGCTTAAATATTTCATAGAGTTGCAGACAACCTGAAGATTTAAAATATCAAAGAGTTCGGTTTGATTAGGGGTATGCAATGAGAATAAAATGGAACTTTTAGCAGCAAATCTGTAGACTAGACATATTTCTAAAATGAGTCAAAATATCTTTGAGGGCTTGAAGGTTATTTGTATTAGTTTTCACAAAAATCAAAGATCATTAGCAGATAAGAGGTAAGAAAGATAATAGTTCTCAATTTGGATTCCGACAAAAAAGTTATCCTTAATGTAGAAATCCAAAATATTTTAGAGGCCATCCATCACAATACTGAAAATATAAGGTGAGATGGGGAAACCTTATCTTAAATCTGAGAAATTAAAGAACCCTTCAAGCACCCCCGTAATGCATAGGAAGTAATGCATGTTATTAATTCATACTTGATCCAATTAATAAAACTATTAGGAAAACCTTTTTGGATCATTCTAACAAAGAGGAATTCTTTAGAAATCATGTCAAAGGCCTTAAAAATATCCAACTTAGTACAAAGCCTCTTGTCTTTGCTATCCCCTTGAAAGTCATCCTACAATTCCTTAGCTAGGATGATGCCATCTATAGAGATTGTTTTTTTAAGGAATTTAGTTAGGGTTTGGTGAATAATATGTGGCATACTGTGCTTTATTCTCAAGGCAAGAGTTTTTATTGTTAGTCTGTGTGGAATTTGATTGTGTAGATCAATTGAGTTGTACTGTTGCCTTGTATCTCAGCTCAATTTGTCGAGTTTGTGATGTGATGCGTTTGAGAGTTACACAAGAACTTTAAAAGATAATCAAATATTAGCTTCCACGAATTATTTCATCAAAAGTTTGTTTGTTTTTTTTCCCCTTCTTCCGTACAATGCCCTGGCATTGTGTTCCCGAGTGCCTAGCATTGATCGACGGAGAGAATAGCGCCACGGCGCTCTAGATTCGACGTTGTAATATTGTGTGATGTTGCGGCGCTACGGGTTTGAACGCTGCAACATCATGATGACAGAGACTTAAGCACCGCAACGTTGCGAGGAGAACTGGATAGTTTTCTTTCTTGTTTTTCTAAAGGGTTGCATCCCTTGGTGTTATTAACTTGGTTTCTCTTGTGTTTTGAGTGTGAAAATGGTGTAAGAGAGAAGAGAAGCAAGGAGAGAGTGAGAGAGAAGAGAGATTTGTACTTATTTCTCCCCATTATCATAGTGGATTCGTTGGTGTGGTGTCGCTCAGTTTTTTTTTCTTCCTAATTTTGAGTTTTTCCACGTTAAATCATGGTGTCCTTTTACTTTCCATTGCTTTTACTTTTTTATTTGTTTCGTTGCGGTGTTTTCTCAATCCCCAACGTGCAATAATCTTGTAGAAGGCATTGCAAAGGAAAATAGGCTTGAAACATGAAATGTTGTCAGCATGAGCAGATTTAGCGATGAGAACAATACCAGTGGCCTTGACTTTGATTGGAAGGTGGCTATTCCTGAAGAAATGTTTAACAGCATGGTATAACTGATTACCGATGATAGAACTCAAAAGAAAAACCATCAGAGCTAGGAGTGGCATTCTTGGCAGCAGAAAAAAATGGCATACTTGATTTCCTCATCTATCATAGGGGTAGTGAGAGCTGAAGGTACGGTGGAATGGTATTTCCAGCAAGCGAAGACTGAGAGATATTCTGAATTAAAATTTGACTGTTAAAAAGATTTTTGAAATGAGCAATTGTAGCTTGAGCCATAGAGGTTGAGCAAGTAAAAATCTCCAGAGATTTAGAGATCTGTTTGATGCAATTATAGTTCCTTTCCCCTCTAATCTTACCATAAAACAACATAAGGTTCTCGTCACCATGAGATAACCATTTGGTCTTGAAGTTCGAGAGACTCATTTATAGCCTTACCATTTGCCTTTAAAGTGCTATTTTGAGGTTCCTTGTTGAGCGTTGAAAGACAAGAAAACTGTCTACTTTGGAGATTTTGGATGGTGGAGAAGATATGATTAGAGGAGAAGGATTGATTTTAATAATGTTTTTCAGCTTTTGGAGTTTGGATTATAAGGAAAAGATAGGTCTCCTTGCATTTGATGAGAGAAAGAGGTGAGAAGAGCTTCCCAGAAATTAGGGAGCTTAAGGAATCTACTACTTTTATTGGGAGGAGCCTGGTTTTGTAAAATAAGAGAGTGGTTAGAACTCGTAGCAGTTTCAACTCTGTAGAAAGAGAGAGGGAAGATGTCTACTCTAACCAGAAATCATTAATGAGTATCTTGTCCAGCTTAATATGAATTCGGTTTTCAGTCTTTTAATTAAGCCAGGTGTAAGAGAACCAAACCAAAGCAAGATCTTTAAACCTGAATAAAAAAAAATCATATTATTGAACTGTCAGAATTTACTATTTTAAATGGGGGTGCCTCGAGATTTTTCATTTTAGTTTCTCCAGCAATTGAAGTCCCCCGTGATGATCCATGTTTGATTCATACTAGCAGCAATATCCTTAAGATTATTCCATAATGTTGTCATTTTCATCATAGAGTTGATAACTCTGCTGATTTTCTGAATGGTTTTCGATGGATACAGCTTCGTTCTGCAGGATGGGAAGTTGAGCGGCTTCTGATACCATCTATCGTTTGGAGAGCACAGTGGGATTATGTTTCAGCTGAACAGAAGATCAAATAGTTAAGCCCTTTGTTCTCAACCACAACTTCTTGAATTTTGTAGTCAGAAATTTGAGTGGAATGAACCGCCTTACTATAAAAATAGATATTTTAATCGCTCTTCTTCCATCCAAACAGAGCTTAAAATTTTATTATTATGGAAGCATTTTTCTTCTAATTAGCCGTCCATCGAAGCCAAGGCTTTGGGATGATTTTTTTAGTGTTTGGTAATTTTTTTGTCAACAATAATAATATCAAGCATTTATTTCAATACATGCGGTTCATTACATGAAATTTTTTTCTCTATTGTGTTATATTAAAAATTAAATTTCATTTAAATCTATTAAAAAAAGTTCATTTTTAATTTTTTCTAGCAAAATATTTTTAGTTGTAAAAAATATAGTTTTAGTAAACTTTTTTTTTTTGAAAAATAATAAAATAATAATAAACAAACAGAAATTATAATTATAATCACGATCCGAAAAACTACGCCTAAAGCTGCTGAGCGTTATAACATTTCTAAAAATTCGTGAGTGAATATATAATCTTCTCCGGTCTCAAAAAGCAAACCCCCTCCAATCAAAAATATTTAATGAATGAGAGTAGAACCTCTTTAAATATGCAGAAGTGGACCGTCAGAACAATTGATTTGTAAATCAAATCATTCGGATATCTCCCATCATTTATAGTTTCATCAAACGTATTTTAACATTTTCATAATAGATTAGTTTATCATGTTTACATTTATATTCTTCATTATCATTATATATTAGCTAAGATTGTTTTACTTCTTAATACATCAAATATGAATAGTAAATACATAAAGGTCAGTTTTGTACTTATATGTCAAATAAAGCTGCTGGATAAGTTAATACAGTCCATCCAAACAGCAGTAACCAAATCCATCCAAACACTTGCTTACATATCACAGGCATAATGTATGACAGTTCAAATAAATTAATCAACGGGAAGAAAAAAAAAAAGTTGCAGCATGTAAAGTAGTAACTCAACCAAATTAGCCAGCAACTATCAGGAAGCTTCTGCAATAGGAAATGAAAATGGCCAAGGTGATTCTGCATGGAAGCTACCTGCACAGTTCAGTAAATCCTGACCATTTTGGTGCTGCTGCAAGATCCAGAGCCTCTAACTTTGCCATTCGAAAACCAATCTGCATTGATTTACTTGCAAGAGCTTGCATCCTGAAAATCGAGGACAATATTCACTGAAACAAGAACTATAGAGGGAAATTCAATAGAAAGTACTCAAAAGGAAAGGATACCCTGCCATCCGGGCATCCAAAAAGGTGCTACTAGTGCTTCTTCTATGAGAGCGCTTTCTATCACCACTGCTGCTGGCATTAGATGGCTTAGCTTTCATGTGCTTCTGCCTGTGATAATCCCAAGTCTTGGCCTTGGGAAGACGGTGGCGGTGTCCCCTCACTGTGTGGGAAGATGAAGTAACAGGTGGATCATAGACATTTGCTGCCCATGTAACACGCAGATTTCGATCGAGAGGTTTCCCTTTATTTGCTCGGCTTCCTTTAAGGGCAGATACAAATTTTGAGGAGTCCTGCAAATGGAATGGAATGGTATTCAAACAGTCGCTATTATTTATAGCTTTTTTCCAAGTCAATAAGATAATACAGATTTTATGAAGCCATTCCATCCAAAGTTTACCCAAGTTGTGTAACATTAAGCAAACAAGTGGATGGAAAAAATATAAAACAGTTGGGTGGGAAAATTGATTAGAATATTGCCTGAAGTTTAAGTTTAGGGTTTCTTCCTGAATTTCACAATAAGATCTACCAAATAAGGGCCATGCTGAGCAGAAATAAAGATTCCATGATAACTTATTCACTGTTATAATTAATTCCTTTTTCAAACTTTTGTAAAACAATTTTATCTTAACAAAATTATAACACCTCTCAATGGATGCTACATTTTACATTGCAAAAGAACCAGAACTACACAAGCCCAAGTGATCAAAGAAGCTGAATAAAATGCAGATGAGACTCATCAACTATAAAAAAACATATCTATGGGTTGTAAACACCATCAAATCAAAATAATGATACACAGAAACTATAGCAAGAGGCAGATAACAACAATTCCGATTTTATAATTCATTCATATTTATTCCGCACTTAATTATGCCTCATTTGAGTGTTACAATTTGTTAATTTCCCAACACCCATCCATGAACAATTTTTTGTTCTATTGATATATAATAAAAATTTACCTTTCAAGTATACACATTCTTTCATCATATAGTACTACCAAGACACTTCTATTTTAATCACCCTGTAGGAGGAATGTAAATATTCATATGATGCTAATCATGTTCTCGGTACAATACGACAAGACACATAAACATATTGTGCTGTAGGAGGAATGTAAATATTCATATGATGCTAATCATGTTCTCGGTACAATACGACAAGACACATAAATATATTGTGCCTAAGCAATATTCTATCTTCCAATACTATAAATTTCAATGTACTTAATCCATATCAATAAACCTATAAAACTTACACTCAGGTATTGATCTACTAATCCTAAGTCCACACACAAGAAGAAAAGAGAGAATAATTAAAAAATCGCATCTCCAATGGCAATTTATAATTTTTGAAAAAAAAAAAACAAGGCCTTAAAACCTGCTATTTTGTCTTAATATTCCTTGCCTATAAATAAAATGTTCAGCCATACATATAAGACAGTTATGACACAACATTCAACTGCCTGTCATGAAACTCCGGTGTTTTGATTGAATTTAAGACTTCCAAAAGTGAAAGCTTGACAGTAGAAAGAACCAATTTAGATAGAAGTGTATGAGGAAATCAATATGCAGCAGTAACAAAATAGGATGAATATGCAGATTAAAGTCATTAATTATAATCATTTCCTTCATAAGCTAGATTTTCTAGATGTTGTCAATACACAACTCACTGCAAATATGACATTTGAGATAAATTCTGATCATTACTGAAAGAAAAGAGTTGTAAAACTATAATATAAGCAAGATGAGTTTGTATTTGCATATTTCATCATCTAATGCATGAAAAAATATTCCACCATGATGGGACAACAAAAAAAAAGAAAGGTAGTAACCGCGTAAATCTCAAAACAATAATGTGATTGCAAAAAATAATAACTCAGCAATGTCCTATGAAATTAATGCTTTGTAGGCAATTAGAACTTGGGCTAATTCTGGTGACACTGAAACAATCACAATAACATAACCAGAACTTACATGAAGAGGCAACATGCTATCTTCTCCGGGATTGTTAACAGATACAGAATTTTCATATCCCAATTGTATAGTTGATAACTCTACTTCCGCAAATATTGAAGGGATTGATTGCAAAGCTTCGGAGCATAGAATTGCCGCACATTTACTCAAGTCCTTCAACTCAGTAGTATTAGGAGAAGAAAACAGCAGCGTTTCTTTGTTAGGGATTGAAGGGCAGTTTGTCTTTTTAACAAGCAGATTTTCACGATCTTCAAGCAGCAACTCATCCAAATCATCTTCATCAGAAATCTCCAGTTTTTCCAAAAGTAAATCCATCATAACAATTTCCTTGTTGATACAATTAAGCTGATCTTCTCCTCCGAACGCCTGTTTGTGGAAAGGATTATTTTTACATGATTTGTGCTCAACAGCTTGGAAAATTGACTTATCGCATGATCCAATATCAGCCATTTTCATATAACTGTGATTAAAGCTGCAATGGAATCAGTTTTAGTAATATAATCTTTCTACAAACTTGCATATTTAACAAAGCAAACCAACATAGAAGATGTACACTTCTTTCAAAGAAGGCAAGCAACAAAGATGAGATTACGTAGAACATTTATAATAAGAGAAGATTTGACAAATAATAATCAAAACATGTATAATTAAAGAATGAAGTTTGAATGGGGTAAAATATGTCCAAAGTAGATGTCAATTTGAATTATTCATACTTCAATAAAATCACCATTTCTAAACTTCGTAAATGAAACTATGAAAAGGTCAAGAAAACTTATACATGCGCTGCTAGATACAAGAACAATTTCTTGTTGATGAGCTCCATTCTATAAAAGTATCCGAATTAACCAACTATAAACATTCCGTTAAAGAAATCCTAGAGAAACATAGCAATCTAAATCATAAAAATGGATAACAAGAGCATTATTTAAAAAAAAAAAAAATTAAACAGCTATACATTAAAGCACTTTCACCTTGCAATCAAGTATGATTCCAACTCCACAAACTGCTAGAGAAAAAAGAACCCAGAATTCAACGCAGCCAATCCAAAACCAAAACCTACAGCCGGAGTACCCTCAGATCTCAGATATCCCAGAAAAGATACAGGAGATAAGAACAGCTATTGAAGAACGCGCTATAAGAAAGAAAGATCAAGATCGACGTGAGAACCAACCGAAAACCCAATGTTAGCTAAGACTACTACAAAGACGATTCCATTTCTTAAGCTTTTTCAGACGATGGGAACAAGAACCAGAAGGGGAAGCAGCGATAACAATGACGAGAAAGAAATCGCTGATCATCGAAGGCATGGTAGACGATCCGCGACAACCAACGGAAACGAAATTGCAGCAAGGAACGAATTCCTTTACCGATCGACGGAAAGTTATTAGCCCATCAAAAAGAGAATGAAGATCGGGAAGAGGAAGAAATGGAATTAGGGATATATGCCTTCATATCATGAATTATTAACCAGTTATGAGTAAGGCATGTATTAAACTATTTCCAAAATCTGTAATGGATGATGAGACTATATCGACTATTGATCATGGATATCAATATTTTTTATGCATTGGCAATAAAGCTATGCATGTAATAACTCATGGATATCTCTACAAGAAGTGCAATAGTTGTCCTAATCTACTTGAATAATATCATTGAATGAGTTTGAGAGCAGAACTTTTCTAAGTGATCAAAACTGATGTAAATAAAAATATGTAAAGTTACTGAAAATGCAAAATATTTGTCATGATCACAGTTTTCAAGTATAAACTTCTACATTTTAGATTTTTTTCGATACTAATTTTATTCATGCATGTGGTTTTTTTAATCATTATTCTACTTGCTCATTTCTAATAGAAAGCCAAAGGTCTTTTATCAAAATTGATTTCTAAAAATGAATAGTGTCTGGGCCTGAATTTTTATAGATGAATAAAAAATAAAAGATTGGAACAGTTTCTGGACCGGAAGCATAACAGCATGGAGCAGAAGATTGACTTTTTTCCAGGAACTGTTATACATTGAAAAGCACACAGACTGAAATAACAGACCTGCACAAGGCCACCGAGATTATCTCTGAGATCCAAAACCAGGTAGGAAACACCATAATCAAGGAGGTTTTTCAATGCTGTCAATAAAGATAGCATCATGTGAATCGATACTTCAATAAAAGTAGTCACAAATAAAAGAACTCAGAGATATAAATAGAGGCAGCTACTTGCACAAAAAGAAAAAAAGATACAGTTGAAATTTTCCATCTATGCATAACCAGAACAAAAAAGGATTTATACGTCATGTGTAAGCCTTCGTTTGGGACAGCTTCTTTGACGCTTTCTAAAACGGCTTTCTAATACAAAAATTTTTCGAATTAGAAATTTTAGTACTAAAAAGTAGTTTTATAAAGTAGTAAAAAAGCTGTCTCAAATGAAGCCTAAGTCACATTGACAGCTTACATCCATTTGCAGTCAACATTAGGCCATTTTAGTTAATTTTCTATGTTCGTACAATCAAGCAATTATGCAAAACAAAAGTAGGAAAAAGGGTCATTAGAGAATGTCTTGATAATAGTTAGCTTTTGAATAACAGCTTTCACAATTATTCAAGGGCAGTACATAGAAACTCACAACAAAGCTGGCAAATTATGTTTATGTTCATTATCATATTTCTAAGATAAATTAGATGCAGTTCCTTCAAGAATAGACCATGCTTCACAATGGCCTGTGTTTTAAAAAGATTGCATTTAGATCCCTAGCACATTTTGATATCTTCAAGAAAGAGCCTCTCAATTTATGATCTTCAAGTGGGCACACAGGGTAACAATGTTAGCCAAATTCGGTTGATTCCGAGAAAGTGATCATTCAAGCAACCTATATGTGAATATTACACTTTTTTTTACCATAATACCCTTCCCAGATTCTTAAAATTCCGAAACTTTGTTTTGGATGAAAAATCTGGTGAAGAAAAAAAAAAGCAAATATCAGTAGATTAGGCTAAGTAAAAATCAATATTCTTGATACGTCATCACAAAATTATCTTGATTGGGCACGAATCTCGAGGCAAAATCAGTTTGGAAACTTCAAAAATTAAATTCGAGAGCATATGAACTCCGATTTCAGCGAGCTTATAGTCAAACTGAGCGTCTCGAAAATACGAATCCAACGACACCAAATTTGACCCAATCCGAGTCCAAATGGGTCCTAATCAAGGACCCGAAGCGCTATTGGAAGGTTCAAACCGTAATTTGAGTTACCAAACGGTCTCCGATTTTAACGAGCTTATACTCGAATCGAGCGGCTCGACGAGACAAATCCAACGAGCCCAAGTTCACTGAATTCCAACATCATTAAGGCCTTCAAATATCCAACAAACGGTGAATAATCAAAGGATTCGATATCGGTCGTCCATTCAAACCACTCCAAATTCGCCCATGATCTCACGCCTATTTACGGGCTATGCCACTCCAGAAAAACTATAAATAGAGCCCTCATTCTACACAAAGGTGACTAAAGTGAAGAGAGAGAAGAAGAAGGAAAAAAGGAAAAGGGGAAAAGGGGAAAGGCGAATCCTCTCCTCCTCGACCCCCGCTGGAGCTCTTCCTGCCGCCCGAACACGTCGGGATTCTGCGTTATATTCGGGAGAACGCAGGAATTCTTCCCAAGTTCCATGTGATGCTGAAATTCTTTCCAATTTGCAACAGAGTACCCTTCTGACGCCGAAACTCCGCCCAACTGAAGCCGGAGTTCTCCTTTGCCACCAACAGACGTCGGACTTCTACCTGACGTCAAACCTTCACTCTTCGCCAAGTTTCTACCTGACGTTGTCCTTCTGATCTTCGTCGTCAGACTACAGTCTTTCCGACCTCCGTCGCCCGCCGACTACGGTCCTTCTGACTTATGTCGCCCGCCGACTACAGTCCTTCCGACCTCCGTCGTCAACCAACTACGGTCCTCCTAAAATACATCGCCCACCGACTACAAGTCTTTCGACCTCCGTCGCCCTCCGACTACAGTCCTTCCGCCCAAACGAACATGTCTCTTTGTATTAACATCATGTAATGTACTCCATAAGCTGTACATCAAGCTAAGACCTTCCACCAAGGAAAGGCCTCATTTGTAATCGACTGCAATACTAGTGGATTCATTCAAACTGGGCTAGGCCCCGTGATTTTTCCCTCTTTTTAGGGGTTTTCCACGTAAAAATCTTGGTGTCTCATAAATACTAGACCCTCTCTTATCTGATTGCGTGCCGGATTTTCGTACAACGCTAAGACGATAAACTTTATATTTCTCTACCGCCGTGAATACTCCTGGACGCAATAATTCTCAAAACTTTTGCATTTGAAATATTTTACACTCTTTTTAATTCAAATTAAATAAAAAATTATCCAAAAAAAAAAAACTTTAAGCAAATTAATTCTAAGAATTGACAAAAAAAAGTATATTTAGATATTGGCCCTTTCAAAAAGATCTCTCATATAGCATACTATTACAAAATATAAAAGGTTTGTACCTTTACTTAATTATTATTGGTGAATAATAACTATTGCTGCCGGCTAGAAGGTAAGCGGTAATAGAGTTAGAAAATTTCGTCTCAGCATTGTATGGATATCCAGCACACAATTAAAAGAAAAAAAGGAACACCATAATTTTTACATGGAAACCCCTGAAAAAAGGAAAAAATCACGAGGCCACGCATAGTTGAAATGATTTTACTAGTGTTTGATTGAATTAAAAGTGACTGACTCGTCCCTTAAAGTGAAGAAGATCATATTACAATAATCAATCTTCGGGTTGAAATTTAGTTACAAACGGAGATCTGAAATCCGACGACGTTTGGTGGTTGGGCGAAGATACGACATCAATTGACGCTCAAGCTGAAATATGTTGTCAATCGGCGGTATGTCAGAAATCTGATTTTAGTTGGTCGTCGGGCATAAGTATGGAGTTACTCGGCTGTCGGGTAGAAGTCCAGCATCAACCGGCGGTTGGGCATAAGTCTAACATCAATCGGCGACCGGTGGAGATCCGATGACAGTTAGTGATCGGGCGGAAATTCGATAGTGGTCGAGGAGTTTGGTGGAAAGAGAGTTCTATTCCTTCTCTTTCTTGATTCTTGCTTGGGTTCTCTCTCATGAGAAATGAGGGGTTTATTGAAAGTTTTCTGAGAGTGACATAAACAGTAAATAGAAGGAAGATTGAGGGTAAATTGGGAGTGGTTTGAAGGGACGGCCGATGTTGATTTTCTTGATCATCGATTGTTTACCAGGCATTTGAATGTTTTTATGATATCAAAATTTGGCGATCTTGGACTCGTTGGATTCATCTCATTGAGTGCTCAATTCAACTATAAGCATGTCACGTTTGAAAATTGTTTGGAAATCCAAATTATGGATTGAACCTTCCAAATGCGCTTCGAGTCTTTGATTTGCACCCATTTGAGCTCAGTTGAGGTCGAATTTGGTGTCGTTGGGTTCGTATTTTTGAGATGTTCAGTTAGACTGCAAGTTTGCTAAAATCGGAGTTGAGATGGTTCCAAATTTAATTTTTGAAGTTTTCAACTCGATTTTGCTTTGAGATTAGTGCCCGATCAAGATAATTTTTTAATGATATATAAACTATAATTACTCAAATTAATATAATTTATGCTCTACCAAAAATCATCTTGATTGAACACAAATTTTTGAGGCATATTCAAGTTGAAAACATCTGAAATTAAATGCAAGACCATCTGAATCTCAATTTCAACAAACGTATAATTAAATTGAATGTCCAAATAGGCCCAAATCAAGGGACCAAAGTATATTTAAAAATTTCAAAGCATAAATTAGATAATCAAATGATCTATAAATAAGCTCGACGAGACGAATCGAACAAGCTCAAGTCTGCTTGTTTTCCAATGTTTGTCAAGCATTTATACTTGCAAATGATGTCAAAATTAAACAATCTTAGGATTGTTGGATTCGCCTCGTAGAACCGCTCAATTCGACTATAAGAATATTATATTTAGAGGCCATTTTGGCATCCAATTATTGATTTGAACATTTCAAATATGCTTTTGTCCTTTGATTTGTACCCATTTGGTCTAAGATTGGGCCAATTTTAGTGTCGTGGAGTTTGTCTTTTTGAAACTTTCAGTTTGGCTATAAATTTGCTGAGATTGAAATTCAAATGTTCATTTTTTAAGCTTTATTTAGTATAACTTTTTTATTACTTCTTAAAACATCTTTCTACTTCTTAAAGCAAATTTTTAATATAAAAAAATGCTCAGTAATAAAGCCCTCCCCAAATGAAGCCTTAATTTAGGAACTTCCATTTAAATACACCTCGAGATCATGATTTACATTGCCATTGACCGCAACTGTTCTTCAAATTTATATCAACATTTCCTCTATTATACACAACTCTCTTTGGCCTATTGGTTGAGAGCTT